CATTTGAATTTGGGCGCGGTGGACCCAGCCCGCAACTTTAAGGCACCAAGAGGATTTGACGCAACCCATCCCTGCACCCCGAGGAGACAACCCCACCCCATGTGGTGACAATAAGGTACCATGGGATATGACGCAACCCCCCCACCCCCTGCCCGCAACTTTAAGGCACCAGAGGACCTGCACTTACGCCCCTCCGAGGTTATGCCCCTCGGGGGGCGTGGGTCAAGCTCTCGCACGGGCGCATCCGATATCCCCGAACGGAATAACGTATACCCCCTCACTCCACCCATCCCCCCGCCTCGAGGGGGACCCCCACCCCTGCCCGCTACTTTAAGGTACCGCAACTCTGGGCGCTACCTAGAGGTACCCTTACTACTTACACATGATTCCCGGAGTTATTGGCCCCTCGACTTGAACTAATCGTGGATTGTTCTTACGTTTCCTGCTGGCCCAGGTCGCTGCTCAGAACAATGCGCGTCGCGTGCGCCTCCTGAGTGGAGGTAAAGTGGTGACCGTCGAGCCCCAGGCGGGGCCCTCAAGAATTGTGAGTTGATCAAACTATTTTTTCTGATCGTGATACTTCTTTAAGATTATACTAACTGATCTGTCCCTTTTGTTGCAGCCTGCCCGCGATCGTTTGGGAGATTTTGTCACCCCTAACCAGCCCCACCATCGAGGCGGCAGAGGGAAGGGCAAGGGGGAGAAGGTCACGATGACAATGACCCCTGAACAGCAAGCCGCTGCATTTGCAGAGCACGTTTTGGAGCCGGCGGTCCGGCAGGTGCCGGAGGCACGTCCTGCTAATCCGGTAAGTTGAAAGACCTTCTCCTAACGATGACACTTCTTTAAAAAAAAGGAACTAATTTGTCCCCTTTTGTTACAGTCTCGCTCGGCGGTCAAGTCAAAAGCCCCCTCCGTCAAAGCCTTGCAGCGGCGCGCGGAGCGCGAGACATTGCTGGAAAAACGTAACAATGCGATGGAGAGCAAGAAGAAGAAGAAGTCTGTAAGTATCTTATGTGCTCGTGGGTGGTAGTGTTTGTATGTGTATGTAGGTGTGTGAAACTAATTCTGTTTGTATTGTTTCAGGACTCCAAGCACTGATTCTTTCCTGTTTTGCCTCTGATAGGCTTTTTCCGTGATTCTTTGTGATTTAATTTTAGAGTGACTGCCCTATGGGCTTTTTAGACTGAATGCCCTATGGGCTTTGTATATTATTTTTAGACTGAATGCCATATGGGCTCTGTGATTTCTATTTAGATTGGATGCACTATGGGCTCTGTGATTTCTATTTGCCCTATGGGCTTTGTATATATTTATTTTTGTTTTTTTTTTGCTATAAAAATTCCAATTAAGCATCATTTGTTTTCCTTTTCCTTTATTCTATTATCAATTGTTCACGTGAATTTTAACTTCTTTATGCAATGCACTTCTTTAGTAGTCTGATGGACAGGACTTCTCATTCAATCTGATCAATTCATGACCTTTTACGCTATTAATTTGCCACGTGGAAGTTGAGATTTTGTTCTACCTTTAAATATACATTGAAAACCTTTTTGGAGAGTAGAGACAGACAGAAATCAAACATCTCATGATGAATGATAGGAATTGAAGGTGCTTTTAACATTGCAAATCAATATTGGTCTTAGAGTAATCCAGTTTGATTGGTTCAGATCAACACTCCAGGTCCCCCCGATCTTGTGGGCGGGTGGCAGCTGAGTTAAAGTTTGAATATTATTTGGACAAAGGAAAATGTTTTGAGAGTAGAGACACACTGTAATCAAGTAATGGAATGTAATTGACAATAATTTTGAACCTTTCTAACAACAGAAGTGTAATTTTATGTGGTTTATGTGGATTTTTGAGTGTGGAAACTTTTTGAAGGTTAGACATCAATCATCTCATGGTGTTTAATAATCATGTTTCTTTTTACAATCTAAATTTTGTTTAGTGTCAGTCATAGGTTTTTTTGCCTCTCCAGCCTAAACGTTTTGGTTTTCCAAAGTTAAATGACGGGTGTCAGTTGAGATAATGATTTAAGGTAAGGGTATGTTGTGAGACTATCATGTCATTGCTACTCAGTAGAGGAACAACATACGAGACTGGGCGGACACACTCTCATCCCCACGTCATCTTCTACCTCATACGAAGCACGGTGGAGTAGAGAGAGTAAGAGTGCCGCATGATCTGGTGGCAAAGAAAGAAGGGCTACTAGAATGGTTAGTAAATTTAACAAAACACATGTCAAATTGAAAGTTATAGTTATCGATCTTGAAACATGTTCGATATTATTCGCTGAGCGATTAGCGAAGCCCATTACTCCACTGACCAGAAAAGTTTCAATCTGTTTGTTTGTCTGTTTGTCCGTCTCTCCGCACGATAACTCGAGAAAGAATTGAGATAGCGACCTGGGATTTTCAGGGTCGTTTTGTATCATAAAAAGACAGATCGAGTTCGAAGATGAGCCCTCTAGCTAGCTCAAAAATTTACCTTAAAAAAATACCTAATATAAACCACTTCTGGACAACGAAACGGCTGGTGCAAATCCTAGCAACCACCCCTGAGTGGGTCTGAGGGGGTAACAAAGAAATAGGGTTTGGTCCCGCCAAGTAGTGGGAAAGAAATAATAGTTATGGTCTCCTAAGGGGTAACTTGTGAGAGTAGAGCCCTTTGGGCTAAAATTTTGTCCGATTGGCTCTGTCTCACCGTTGAGACGCTAGAGGGGGATTTTCTCACAAAAGTGGCCCAAAAAATAAACATATATTGTTTTAAGAAAATATTTAATGGTCTTCAAAGGGGTAAAATGTGAAAGAGGAACCCTCTGGGCCAGCATGTCGTCTGATGAGCCTGGCCGCGAGCTGCGCGCCGCGGTGCCGCCGTGACACCGCGAGTCTGTGCGCGCGCGAGTGAGTGTGTGTGTGTGTGCGCCCCGGATTCACTGCAAACATAGGTGTGTCAATACAACACACTTCGTGTGTTTTTTTTCTTGTGGTCACTTATAACACAGAATTTGGTGAGTTACTTTAAAACGCTCCACATGTGTTAAATTGACATGGAGTGTGCGTTAAACTGACACGGATGTGTGTTTAATCGACACACTGCAAGCGTGTTGTGAACCAAAAAGTAATCCAGTAAGAATGTGTTAATTTAACACAGAATTAATGTGCTGAAATACAAGTAATATCTGAACAAAATTAATATGGTTGCATATTTCATTTCTTATTAGCTAAACAGAAGGGTAGAACCAGTATAGGTTGAATAAAGTCAATAAATTTTCTTAAACATTAATGTATAATAACTTAGTCAGCCAAATGTTTAAAAATACAAATAAATGCATAGCATGACATCCCGTACAACACAGATTGTCTTCCACAAGGATAAGGCGATACTACCAGCATCC